CAATGCCAATTTATAGTAAAATTACCAAAATACCTATTTATAATAAAATTACTAACAATACCTATTTATAGTAAAACTACTGTATATATACTATAAACTACTATATGCATATATATATATATATATATATATATATATATATATATATATATATAATGATTCCGATTATGAGAGGGAGGTCTACTATGCATAATCATTGAGTAGTAACATGAAGGACTTAGGACTTCACGACAGTTACCTACAATACGTTACATCTGTAGTTTTGGCACCTCGAGGCGGTGTAATGGTTAGCAAGCTTGACTCGCTAGAACAATTAAAGCTGAGTAGTAAGTTCGATCTTCACTGGGTACCCCTTACTTTCGGCCTTGTGCCACATCTAAACTCCGCTTGGAAAATCACCATTTTATCTGTAGTTGAAGGCATATAATTGCGCTCAAAATATTTACATTTCGGCATTTAATAACCCATAGAGATGTTTATATGCCGCTAAAAAAAATCAACCGACAGTGCCGGCTTTCTTCAGTCAGCAAACCAGAGAACGAAACGCTTATTCAAACTGAAATCTTTCGAAATAATCTGACTCTACGGATGCAGAGAAGCGTAAAGAATATTTCGAGTAAAAGGTAATTGCCGCCTTATCTAAGCAACGATAACAAAACAAATCAAAAATTACGAAGCCAACAAAAATCGAAGCTGTCTGTATACCAGTCCCCCACGTTTGCATGCGTGCATCCATCCATCGCGCGGGAATTGCGTGGTGCCAATCAAGTCGGTTCTCATAGCAAAGATACTTTTACTTCTACCGCTGATATATATAATGAGACAAAATGCTGTGTGTGAATTACAAGGTGTGTAGGTGAAAACGCTTCGTTCTGTCAACGGTTCCAACTAGCAGGTTAGCGTCATTTTTCCAATCTGCAACGATCCATTCTAGGTAATTCTCTTGTCACCACTTAATAGCATTAGTCGCTCGTCAAGTCATGTGCTGTCAGTGGTCGGTACAAATAGGGCAGACTGATCTGTAACTGTTCCCCATTCTCCTACCTCGCTCTTTCTCCGCTGCTGTGCACTAGAAAACAGGCACAGATTCGATTAGCGGTCGATCCAATAAGATAGCAAACAGATACGCGCGCTATACAGCGTGTTCGACGCACGCAGGCGTTAGGTAAAAGTTGTAATTTGGAAAATGGTTAAGGAACGCGGATTGTAATGAGATAATAGCGAGAGAAAAAGTAGATCTCATTTATTGTATTCATGCGCGGAGAAAAAAATGAGTAAAAATTGGTTTTTATTATTGTCAATATTATTATTATTATTATTATTGAAGAAAATGATTGACGTAACTCTTCAAATATTTTGCAACACTTAGCGAAAAGCGCGATTTAATAAAAAAGAAAGCGAAGTAAAAACGCGGTGTTTAACAATATTTAGCAATATGTCGAGAGTATCTCTGTCTTCTTCAAGTTATGTTCAAAAATTGCATACAAGTATCAGAATAAAATAAAAAAATTACACATCTTTGCACAAACGTCACTTGAGAAAAACGGTTGTAGTGGTAATCAACGCGTCAAAACGGATGAAACGCATTCAGTGTGAAGGAAATGGAACTTAAACGTAATACGATAGTGATTGTGCTCATCTTGAAATTTGTCGTCTGTTAGAAGACACTTTCGAAATATTGTTAAGCATTGTTAAAAACTTGTCTTTTTCTTCTCTATTTTAAATCACGGCCTTCGCTCATTATTATTATTATTATTATTATTATTATTATTAAAGATTCAATGGACACATGATGTCAGACACAATGTGACATCAGAACATTGTATTACAAACGGCTGAAATTTCGACAAGCATCACAAGGAACACTTTTTATATTCACAATCTACCGACCTTTCGACCCGTAAAACGCATGAGGATAGTTACGTATGCAAATTACTAACTTCCCGCCATCTGGGAATAAAGAGAAAGTCAGGAGAGTTCCATAAGCTGTTTTCTTAATTCCTCTTAGTAACTAATAAACTAACGGAAAATTCCAAGATGAACAAGATGGCCATCATATTAAACACGTTTCAGTTTTATGACTTCACGCTGGCGGCGTTTCATTCGTTTTGACGCATTGATTACCAGTACGACCGTGCTTCATGACAAGACAAGCAACTCTGTAGAAAGACTTATAATTTTTTGTGGATTTATATATCTTTATGCTTAATTTCTTTTTAAATATAACTTGAAGACAGATCCTTTTGTTGAAATATTGTTTAACATTGTCAAACACTGTGTTTTTTTCATTTCTTTTTCTTTTCTTAAAGACAAATCTTTCTTTTTCTTTTCCTAAAGACAGATCTTTTTGTCGAAATATTGTTTAACATTGTCAAACACTGTGTTTTTTCCTTTCTTTTTCTTTTCTTAAAGACAAATCTTTCTTTTCCTAAAGACAGATCTTTTTGTCGAAATATTGTTTAACATTGTCAAACACTGTTTTTTCATTTCTTTTTCTTTTAATAAAGACAAATCTTCCTTTTTCTTTTCCTAAAGACAGACTTTTTGTCGAAATATTGTTTAACATTGTCAAACACTGTTTTTTTCATTTCTTTTTCTTTTCTTAAACACAAATCTTTCTTTTTCTTTTCTTAAAGACAGATCTTTTTGTCGAGATATTGTTTAACATTGCCAAACACTGTTTTTTCATTTCTTTTTCTTTTAATAAAGACAAATCTTCCTTTTTCTTTTACCTAAAGACAGATCTTTTTGTCGAAATATTGTTTAACATTGTCAAACACTGTTTTTTCATTTCTTTTTCTTTTCTTAAAGACAAATCTTTCTTTTTCTTTTCTTAAAGACAGATCTTTTTGTCGAGATATTGTTTAACATTGCCAAACACTGTGTTTTTTCCTTTCTTTTTCTTTTCTTAAAGACAAATCTTTCTTTTTCTTTTCTTAAAGACAGATCTTTTTGTCGAAATATTGTTTAACATTGTCAAACACTGTTTTTTCATTTCTTTTTCTTTTCTTAAAGACAAATCTTCCTTTTTCTTTTCCTAAAGACAGACTTTTTGTCGAAATATTGTTTAACATTGCCAAACACTTCGTTTTTTCCTTTCTTTTTCTTTTCTTAAAGACAAATCTTTCTTTTTCTTTTCTTAAAGACAGATCTTTTTGTCGAAATATTGTTTAACATTGCAAACACTGTGTTTTTCCTTTCTTTTTTCTTTTCTTAAAGACAAATCTTTCTTTTTCTTTTCTTAAAGACAGATCTTTTGTCGAAATATTGTTTAACATTGCCAAACACTGTGTTTTTTTTTCTTTTTCTTTTCTTAAAGACAAATCTTTCTTTTTCTTTTCTAAAGACAGATCTTTTGTCGAAATATTTTTAACATTGCCAAACACTGTGTTTTTTCCTTTCTTTTTCTTTTCTTAAAGACAAATCTTTCTTTTTCTTTTCCTAAAGACAGATCTTTTTGTCGAAATATTGTTTAACATTGCCAAACACTGTGTTTTTTCCTTTCTTTTTCTTTTCTTAAAGACAAATCTTTCTTTTTCTTTTCTCAAAGACAGATCTTTTTGTCGAAATATTGTTTAACATTGCCAAACACTGTGTTTTTTCCATTCTTTTTCTTTTCTTAAAGACAAATCTTTCTTTTTCTTTTCTTAAAGACAGATCTTTTTGTCGAAATATTGTTTAACATTGCCAAACACTGTGTTTTTTTTCCTTTCTTTTCTTTTCTTAAAGACAAATCTTTCTTTTCTTTTCCTAAAGACAGATCTTTTTGTCGAAATATTGTTTAACATTGCCAAACACTGTGTTTTTTCCTTTCTTTTTCTTTTCTTAAAGACAAATCTTTCTTTTTCTTTTCTTAAAGACAGATCTTTTTGTCGAAATATTGTTTAACATTGCCAAACACTGTGTTTTTTCCTTTCTTTTTCTTTTCTTAAAGACAAATCTTTCTTTTTCTTTTCCTAAAGACAGATCTTTTTGTCGAAATATTGTTTAACATTGCCAAACACTGTGTTTTTTCCTTTCTTTTTCTTTTCTTAAAGACAAATCTTTCTTTTTCTTTTCTTAAAGACAGATCTTTTTGTCGAAATATTGTTTAACATTGCCAAACACTGTGTTTTTGCATTTCTTTTTCTTTACTTAAATCGCGCTCTTGTCTTAACTGTTGAAAAATATTGGAAGATGTACGTCAATCTTTTATTTAATAATAATAATTATAATGATAATACATATAATAATATTAATTGATATCAATAATAATAATAATAATAATTGATATCAGCAACAAGATTAAGGAACTAGCCCAAGATGGAACATACAAATACTTAGGAATTAATTCAAATTAATTACACTTAGTAAATAGTCAACTAACGGAAATTTCCAAGAGAAACAACATCACCACCATATTAAGCAGACCTTGCATGTCTTCACGCTGGTGGTGTTTCCTTCGCCTTGTTGTTACTTTTTATTTTCCTAAATCGCGAAAAAGAAATGTTTTTGCAACTGTATGTGCGGATGGTGTAATGGATAGCGACTCAGAATGAGAAATTGGAGAGCCGAGTTCCAATTCCAATCGGATTCGTTACATTCACTTACGGGAAAATGAATTCATATCTATGGGTTAAATTGTAAGACTTATATCCGTAAAAATTATTGCCATTCTTAAAAACAAATTGTTTATTCAATATTCATTCGCAAAAAAAAAAAGAATTACTGTCGCAATCCAAAATATCTTTCGTCGTTAAACAATACACTCGGGTATGATAAACCGTAAAAAATCAAATTGATCAATCTGCAGCTGTGATGTTCAAGCTGATTCATACTCTCAGAGAAATAACAATTATTACTTTGCTAAAGTACCCAGATGGGTGACCGCTTAGGAATACAACTCACGGCCACATCATTTTGAAACACCTGTTCTCGTACGATCACCGAAGTTAAGCAACGTCGAAACTGGTCAGTAGCTAGATGAATAACCGCTTAGGAATACCAGGTGATATGGCTCACGGCCACATCACTTGAAACACCTGTTCTCGTACGATCACCGAATTTAAGCAACGTCGAACCTGGTCAGTAGCTAAATGGGTGACCGCTTAGTAATACCAGGTGCTGTAAGCTTGGATGTGCGGATGGTGTAATGGATAACGGCTCGGAATTGAACGCGGAGAGCCGAGTTCCAGTAAACTACGAACTACAAACGTTAGGAAGTTGTGGAGAACAATGTTCTCCCACATCCTGAAGGTAAACGGCATATCTGGTAGCGTAATGTTATCGGGGATGAAAGTGGAATCGGGGAGTGGAGTTCAAATACTTCCCTCGTTTGTGATATTCATTTTTGCGCAGCTAGCCCGAGGAAAGACTGGAATACAGCTCTTCTCTACCCTGCTATGGGTTAAATTGCATGATATTCTAGGCCAGTGCTTATCAAGCAATCTGATGTGGGGTACAGGCATTTTTTTTTCTTTCAACGTGCTAGGGACCGGCGAGCGAAGCTTTCCAATCCAAGTTATTTTTAAAGATATATCCTATTTCCTATTTCAGGTCATTTTGAGACTCTTTATTGTTGAACATCGGTTAAGGAAAGACTATTGGCCTTACTTCCGCTGCATCAGTGCGTGAGCGGAAATCGGTGGTTAAATACACAGGGCTCAGAGGTGTCACGAGCCTAGAATAAACAAGGCGCACAGGTGTCCTGAGCGGAAGGAAATGCATCATTGCGTGAGCGCATGCCGGAAGAGGGGGAGTTGCGGAGGCGACATACCGGTAGAAAGCATAGACACTTGAAGTTGCGTAGGTGTTCAAATGTTATTTAACCGGTCCGATTCTTGATCTGGACAGACAGGCTGGCTAGATGTTCACGGAAGATTTGTCTCCATCTCCTGTGTACGCAATCCTAATCGCTTCGATTCTCCCTCACTCCACCCATTCGCCGCTATTCGAACAATAAAGAAATTTATATGTTTTTTTTTATATATATATAAGTGTTCGTCGACCTATTTGAGCCCAACAGCAATATACTACACTATGATGTCTTATTCATTCTAAGGCCAATCATCATGGAAGTAACAAGTCTTCCCAGACCTGTACCATATTTCCCCCAGATAATTTTTTAATCGGATTAACCCCAAGCAAAGCAATAAAGTCACTAAGACAGAACGGATTACTGGGTGAGTAATAGAATGATTACTAATGAGCAGGACAATAAAAGAATAATCAAGACGACAGTAGATAACGATTGACATTGAATTTAAATTTTTACGCATTAATGTTGGCTGAAAATCATGGATCCGGAAGGGAGTTCCACAAGTGAAAAGTGAGAGAAAAGAAACTGTTAGTATAGAGCTTAACATCTAGCCAGCTCAACTGTAAATTGATGAGACCTCACCGCCAGTCTAGTACTGCGCTTAAATTCAAAATGTCTAGGTACCATAGCGAAGAGCTCATCCAAACGGACATAAATAGAAAACAGAGTTTGGAAAATTTGATCTACACAGGACAGATTAAAGAGGACAGAGAAAAACAAGACATGGTTGTTAGCAAAAGGAACAGCCCAACGTGCAAATTGCACATGCCAAAATCAAACAATTACAAGTATCTGGTAAGTGTTTTAACAGAGGACGGGAAGTGTGGCACTGAAATCCGAAGGCGTATTTTGATAACGAATGATGCCTTCTAAAATCTAAGCAAAGTATTAAGAAACAGAAAAAAAAATCGTTAGAAACAAAGAAGTAATATCAATCCTCCTATATGGCAATGAATGCGGGGCAATCTTCTCACAGACGAAAAGAAACAAGAAACATTAGAAATATGGCCGTGCTGACGGATGCTGAGATTACCATAGACCAAACCTGAGCAACGACAAAGTTTTAGAGAAAATGGACATGAAACAAAAAGAGGGCTTATACATAACATAAGAAAGAAACAGTTAAAGTTTCTGGGGTGCATAATGAGAAAAGAGGACATGGAAACTTCGATACTCACAAGTCAGATTAAAGGCAAGAGAGATAGGGAAATGGATGACGGAACAATGTTTAGGAGAAATAACAAAAAGACAAACTTTAGTAAGAGCGACAAAAGGCGGGAAAATGTGGAGGGCTATGACTGTCAACGTCCTGAAGGGACATGGCACATTTGAAGATAAATTATATGCCTTTATTCTCTCAGATATTTTGACTAGTAATTTCATCTTCGTTATTCTTTCAATTGCTACATTTTGTCCAGTATTCTCCCTACGCTTACACTTTTCTAAAGATTTCAAATAATGTGTTATGAATCGGTCACTATTCATAGAAAATCAATAGGTCTTTCACTCGACCGAACTGTCCATAAATTTTTAGTTTGAAATATAAATCCTCAGGTGAAGTATGAACCGATAGCATTTAAATAGTGTTCCCAGTCTTCACCTTCTGAAAGTAGGGGGGATCAATCGTTTGGTTAGCTTTTTTTTTTACGGTATATCGGTATCTAGCCACCCCCACCCACGAGGGTTGCATGTGGCACAAGGCCGAGTTTATCGTGGGTTTTACCGAGCCCGTAGGCTCAGCCAAAAAATGCCCGTATAACCCGTATAAACGAGATCGGGTTGGTCATTTTACGGTATATCAACCTTAATGTGTTATATAATGCCGATAAGATTTTTATTGCTGGTAATATTTTTTCTCAAAAATGTAATGCTGGGAATAATTTTTTTTTTTCAAAAATGTATTGCTGGTAATATTTTTTTTTTTTTCGAAAATGTATAGCTGGTAATATTTTTTAAAGAATGTATTGCTGGTAATATTTTTTTGAAAAAAAATGTATTACTGGTAATATTTTTTTTTTTAAATGTATTGCTGGTATCTATAATATATATATATATATATATATATATATATATATATGGTATTTATAAACCTATTTTTACACTTTCATGGTGTTTTGACCACTTTTGTGAAGGTTAACTATTTGTCCATAGCTGGAACCCTGACAGCTGCTACCACTCCAGGTCAGAGTGGACCTTGGAACACTAGCAATTAAGAGGTGGTGCCACGCTACTTAAAGCCTTGCTGTGTGACGTAGTTTATCGTTTTACCCAGGAAGCGGGTGTAGTTTATCGTCATACCCATGACGCTGATGTAGTTTATGGCCTTACCCAGGACTCGGGTGTTGTTTATCGTCTTATCCAGGAAGCGGGTGTAGTTTATAGTTTTACCCAGGACGCGGGTGTTGTTTATCGTCTTACCCAGGACAGGGTGGGTGGTTCATTCCTGTCCAGAAGGCTGACACCTGATACTTTAAAATTCCAAACGAAAGGAAATTGAATGTAGGATAGACGACGCTCTGGGAAGCTTCACACAACACTACAAAGTCAAAACATTAAACTGAAAACTCGAGTCATGTTCTTAAATAACTTAGTCAAAGCTAGACTGTCATATACCGATGCCAAGCTTGGTGTACAACAAGTTAAAAAATGTCTAAACTCTCAGCTATATGCATCCGTTTTCTTAGATCAGTTGTTCCCAAACGATAGAAGAGGATAGCAGGTGAGGCGGAATAGGATAGCAGGTGAGGCGGAATAGGATTAGAAGGTGAGGCGAAAGTGGATAGCAGGTGAGGCGGAAGAGGATAGCAGGTGAGGCGAAAGAGGATAGCATCTGAGATAGAAGAGGATAGCACATGAGGCGGAAGAGGATAGCAGGTGAGGCGGAAGAGGATAACAGGTGAGGCGGAAGAGGATAGCAGGTGAGGCGGAAGAGGATAACAGGAGGCGGAAGAACAGGTGAGGCGGAAGAGGATAGCAGGTGAGGTGAGAGGATGGCGGTGAAGCGGAAGAGGATAGCAGGTGAGAGGCGGAAGAGGAGGATAGCAGGTGAGGCGGAAGAGGATAACAGGTGAGGCGGAAAGAGGATAGCATCTGAGATAGGTGAAGAGGATAGCAGACAGGTGAGGCGGAAGAGGATAACAGGTGAGGCGGAAGAGGATGGCATCTGAGATAGAAGAGGATAGCACATGGGCGGAAGAGGATAGCAGGTGAGGCGGAAGAGGATAACAGGTGAGGCGGAAGAGGATAGCAGGTGAGGCGGAAGAGGATAAGGTGAGGCGAAGGTGAGGCAAGGATAGAGGTGAGAAGAGGATAACAGGTGAGACGGAAGAGGATAGCAGGTGAGGCGGAAGAGGATAGCGGTGAGACGGAAGAGGATAGAGGTGAGGCGGAAGAGGATAGCAGGTGAGGATAGCAGGTGAGGCGGAAGAGGATAGCAGGATAGCAGGTGAGGCGGAAGAGGATAGTTGAGGAAGAGGATAGCAGGTGAGGCGGAAGAGGATAGTGAGGTGAGGCGGAAGAGGATAGCAGGTGAGGCGGAAGAGGATAGCAGGTGAGGCGGAAGAGGATAGCAGGAGGCGGAAGAGGATAGCAGGTGAGGCGGAAGAGGGATAGCAGGTGAGAGGATAGCATCTGAGATAGAAGAGGATAGCAGGAGGCGGAAGAGGATAGCAAGGCGGAAGAGAATAGCAGATGAGGCGGAAGAGGATAGAGGTGAGGCGGAAGAAGAGGATAACAGGTGAGGCGGAAGAGGATAGCAGGTGAGGATAGCAGGCGGAAGAGGATAGCAGGTGAGGTGGAAGAGGATAACAGGTGAGGCGGAAGAGGATAGCAGGTGAGGCGGAAGAGGATAACAGGTGAGGCGAAAGAGGATAGCAGGCGGAAGAGGATAGCAGGTGAGACGGAAGAGGGATAACAGGTGAGACGGAAGAGGATAGCAGGTGAGGCGGAAGAGGACAGGTGAGACGGAAGAGGATAGCAGATGAGGCGGAAGAGGATAGCAGGAAAGAGGATGGCAGGTGAGGCGGAAGAGGATAGAGAGGCGGAAGAGGATAGCAGATGAGGCGGAAGAGGATGGCAGGTGAGGCGGAAGAGGATAGGTGATGCAGATGAGGCGGAAGAGGATAGCAGGTGAGGCGGAAGAGGATAGCAGGTGAGGGCGGAAGAGGAGGGTGAGGCGAGAAGAGGATAGCGGAAGAGGATAGAGGCGAGGCGGAAGAGGATAGCAGGTGATGCGAAAGAGGATGGTGAGGCGGAAGAGGATAACAGGTGAGGCGGAAGAGGATAGCAGGTGAGGCGGAAGAGGATAACAGGTG